AGGAAGAAATAGAGAATCTGAATAGACCTATCACTAGCAAGGAGATGGAAACAGTAATCAAAAGCCTCCCCAAAAACAAAGTCCAGGACCAGACAGCCTCTCTGATGAATTCTACCAAACATTCAAAATAGATTTAGTATGTACCTTCTCAAACTCTTCCAAAAATTGAAGAGAAGGGGATGCTTTCTGACTCATTTTATGAGGCCAACATTACCCTGATACCAAATCAGACAAGGACAACATAAAAAAGAAATTTATAGGCCAATATTGCTGATGATTATAGATGCAAAAATTATCAACAAAATATTAGTAAATCAAATACAATACATTTCATACTCATGGATTGGAAGAATTAACATAGTTAAGATATCCATATTACATAAAGCAATCTACAGATTCAATGCATTCCCAATCAGAATCTCAATGACATTTTTCACAGATATAGAACAAAGAATCCTAAAATTTATATGGAACAAAAAAACCCCAAATAGTCAAAGCATTCCTGAGAAAAAGAACAAAGCTGGAGGTATCACACTCTCTGATTTCAAAGTATACTACGAATCTGTAGTTACCCAAACAGAATGGTACTGGCAGAAAAATGGACGCAGATCAATCAAACAGAATCAAGAGCCCAGAAATAAACCCACACAACTCTGGACAGCTAATTTTTGACAAAGGAGCCAAGAACATACAATGGAGAAAAGAAAGTCTCTCCAATAAATAGTGTTGGGAAAAGTGGACAGTCACATGCAGAATATGAAAGTAGACCATTATCTTACACCATACACAAAAATTATCTCAAAATGGATTAAAGACTTGAATGAAAGACCTGAAACCAAAAAACTCCTAGAAGAAAACATGAGCAGTATGCTGCTCTTTGACACTGGTCTTAGAAATATCTTTTCAAATATGTCTCCTCAGGCAAGAGAAACAAAAAACAAAAAAATGGGACTAAATTAAACTAAAAAAATTCTGCATGGCAAAAAGACAATGTACCAAATAGGAGAAGATATTTGCAAATCATATATTTGATAAGAGGTTAATATCCAAAATATATAACGAACTCATACAACTCAACAGCAAAAAAAAAAAAAAAAACAACCCCACAACAACCCAATTAAAAACTGGACAGAGGATCTGAATAGACATTTTTCCAAACAAGATATACAGGTGGCTGACAGGCACATGAAAAGATGTTCAACATCACTAAGTATTAGGGAAATGCAAATCAAAACCATAATGAGATATCACGTCACACATGTCAGAAAGGCTATTATTAAAAAGACAGGAAATAACAAGTGTTGGATGGGATGTGGAGAAAACGGAACCTTCGTACACTGCTGGTGGGGATTTAAATTGGTACAGCCACTCTGGAAAATGGTATGGAGATTCCTCAAAAAATTGAAAATAAAACTACTATATGATACAGCTATTCCACTTCAAAGTATTTATCCAAAGAAGACAAAGATACTAATATGAAAAGATATATGCACCACTATGTTCATTGTAGCATTTACAATAGCCAAGACTTGGAATTGACCTAAGTGCCCACTGATGGATGAATAGATAAAGAAGATGTGGTATACATATGCAATGAAATATTACTCAGCTATGAAAAAGGATGAAATCTTGCCATTTGTGACAATATAGATGGACCTCGAGAGTATTATGCTAAGCAAAATGTCAGATAGATAAAAAAAAAATACCATATGATTTCACTCATATGTAGAAGATAAAAAACAACAACAACAACACATAGACACAGAAAACAGATTGGTGGTTACCAGAGGGAAGAGGGGTGGGGGTAGGGCAAAAGGAGTAAAGGGGGACATTCATATGGTGATGGATGGAAACTGGACTTTTGGTGTGAACATGATATAATGTTTACATAAGTGAAAATGTAATGATGTACACCTAAAATTTATATAATGTTATAAGCCAATGTTACCTCAATAAAAAAAGAAAGAAAGAATAGCTGAGAACTTCCCAAACCTGGGGAAAAATCTAGACATACCAGTGCACGAAGCTGATAGATCTTACTATCTCAATGCAAAAGACCCTCTTCAAGACACATTGTAATGAAGCTATCAAAAGTCAACGATAATGAAAAATCTTAAAGGCAACCAGGGGAAAAAAAGAAAGTAACCTATAAAAGAACCAGCATTAGACCATCAGCAGATTTCTCAGCATAAAGTCTATAGGCCAGGAGAGAGTAGAATGACATATTCAAAATATTGAAAGATATCAATTGCCAGCCAAGAATACTCTATCCAGCAAAGTTATCCTTCAGATACAAAAGAGAAATAAAGGCTTTCTCTGAAAAACAAATGCTGAGGGAGTTCACCACCACTAGACCTGCCTTACAAAAAAAGTTGAAAGGAGCTCTTTTACCTGACACAAAAAGACAAAAGTACAAAAAACTTTGAATATGGTGATAAATAGAATCAGAAAACTGTAACTCTATTTTAGAATAGAGTGTTAAACACTTATAGCATAAAGGTTAAAGGAAAAAAGCATTAAAAATAACTATAGCTACTATAATTTGGTAACAAACTCACAGCATAAAAAGAGATACTTTGTGGCAACAAAAATATAAAAGAGGAGGAGGAAAATGATGGAACTTGCATAGGCAAATGGAGATAAGTTGCTATCAGCAGAAGAAGGACTATTTTATCTATGAGACATTTTATACAAACCTCATGGTAACCACAAAACAAAAATCTAGAGGGGCCAGTCCCAGTGGTTTATTGGTTAAGTTCAGCATGCTCTGCTTCAGCGGCCTGGATTCAGTTCCCAGTCACAGAGCATTCATTGGTGGCCATGCTGTTGTGGTGACCCACATAGAAAATAGAGGAATATTGGCAACAGATGTTAGAGCGAATCTTCCTCAGGGGAAAAAAATCTAGATAAAAGACACAAAACATAAAAAAGAGAAAATTGAGCCAATCATCATAGAAAACCACTAACCCAGAAAGGTAAACAGAAACACAGAGAAAAAGAAACAATGGAGATACAAAACAACCAGAAAACAAAAGACAAAATGGCAGTAGTAAGTCCTCATGCATCAATAAACACCCTAAATGTAAATGTATTAAACTCACTAGTCAAAAGGCACAGAGTGGCTGAATGGATTAGAAAACAAGACCCAACTGTTTGCTGCCTTCAGGAGACTCATCTCCAAAGACAAAGAGAGACTCAAAGTGAAGGGGTGGAAGATGAAACTCCAAGCAAATGGTAACCAATAGAGGGTAGCCATACTTATATCAGACAAAACAGACTTCAAGCCAAAAATGGTAACAAGAGACAAAGGTCATTATATAATGGTAAAGGTGTTGCTACCTTAAGAAGATACAGCAATCATATATATATATATGCTCCCAACATCTGAGCAGTGAAATATATTAAGCAAATACTAACAGATCTTAAGGGAGAAATAGTCAACAATACAATAATAGTAGGGGACTTCAATACCCCACTGTCAGCAATGGATAGATCGTTCAGACAGAAAATCAACCAAGAAATGTTGGAATTTAACCACATTTTAGAACAACTGGACTTAATAGACATAGATAGAATTTTCCATCCAACAGCAGCAGAATACACATTCTACTCAAGTGCACTTGGAACATTCTCCAGGATTGATCATAAGATAGGCCACATAACTAATCTTAGCAAATTTAAGAAGATTGAAATCATACCAACTTCTTTTCAAACCACAATAGCATGAAATTAGAAATCAACAAGAGGAAAGTGAGTAGATCTTCAAATATTTGGAAGTTAACACTTCTAAACAATGAAAACGCAAAGAAGAAATCAAAAGGGAAATAAAAAATTATCTCAAAACAAATGAAAATGAAATGGAGCTAGTTATAATTATGTTGTATCCATATGTATGTTGTAACATATCAGATTTTGTGGGATGCAGCAAAAGCAGTTCTGAGAGGAAAGTTTATAGCAATAAATGCACGTATTAAGAATTAGAAAGATCTCAAATAAACAACCTAACTTTATACCTCAAGGAACTAGAAAAAGAGGAACAAATTAAGCCCCACGTTAGCAGAAGGAAGGACATAATAAAAATCAAAGTGGAACTAAATGATATAGAGACCAGAAAAACAATAGAAAGGATCAATGGAATTAAAAGCTGGTTCTTTGAAAAGATAAACAAAATTGACCACTTTAAGCTAGACTTACTAAGAAAAAAATGACAAGATTCAAGTAAATAAAATTAAATGAAAGGGGAGACATCACAACTGATACTATAGAAATACAGAGAATTGTAAGAGACTACTGTGAACAATTATATTACAACAAATTACATAACCTAAAAGAAATGGATACATTTCTAGAAGCACACAACATACCAAGACTGAATCAGGAAGAAATAGAAAATCTAAACAGACTAATAATGGGTCAAGAGATTGAGTCAGTAATCAAAAAACTCCCCAAACAGGAAATTCCAGGGCCAGATGGCTTAACTGGTGAATTCTATTGAACATTTTTTTTTTTGTTCACAGATCGTGGCAACAGGTAACGTTTAGTGAGAGCTCACCACCCACTGTGTTAACACTTTACGATAATTACCGCCATGATCTGCACACACATGTGATATCATAGTCTCCTCACAACACGTCTGTGAGGTAGGCACTTCGTTATCTCCATTTTCCAGGTGAGGAAACCCAGGCCCAGAGAGGGTATTTGGTTTGCCCAAAGTCACACAGCAGGGACTGGTAGAGGAAGCCAGGTTGGATGACTGACAAATTCTCTCAGAGACTAAGTGACTGCAGGCTTCCTCGTTTCTCTGGAACAAAACGTTGCCAACACTTTCTGCCCTGCAGCTTCAACGCTGGCAGCGAACAGCAGCGGGCAGGGTGGGGGATGGGGAAGCAGAGAGATGTCAGCAGGTGCGGATGGACGGCAGAGATCTGAGCGGAGCAGGGGCAGAGTCCAGCCAACTGCATAGGAAGGAGGAAGGAAAGGAGCAGATGGCGAAGGAGTTGCAAAGCGTCTGGGTCAGTTGGAGCGTATGGTTTTCTCTATCCACGAGGCATATTTGCAGATCTGAGTGTAGACAGCTGGCTGCTGAGCAGAGCCGCAGGGGTAAACGCCCCAGGAAAGGATGCCCTGCAGGGTCTCGTCGCAGACCAGAGGACCACCCGAGTCACTCTGGCAGGGGTCCTGGCCCCGCTCCAGTCCTGCACATATCATGTTGCTGGTGACCACGCCAGGGTAGAAGACCTCACACTCTTTAGGGCTCAGGATAGTGACTCTGGAGCAGCTCAGGCCCTTGTTGTACTTCACTCTTCGGGCGGCCGTGGTGCCCCAGCCAGCAGCCTGGCACTGGTCTCCAGGCTGGGCACAGCGGTAGGGCAGGCGTAGGGTCTGGATGCGAGACCCCAGCACAGCAGGCCTGGCCAGCTTCAGCAGCATGAGGTCGTGCTCGTCCGTCCGCCTTGGCAGGAGGGGGCCCGAGCCCTGGTGGTACTTGGGGTGGATGATGGAGCGAGTGGTCCGGCGGAGCTGCTCGCCCTGGAGAAGCAGCAAGTGGTCATCTCCCACTCGAGCCCACAGCGGCCTGAGGAAGGAAGAGCCACATGAAGGCAAAGCCTTTGTAGGGACTAGGTCTGGATTCTGAGTCTCAGGGATGGAGGGTACAGGTAGCAGGATGGGGCCTGGACTCCCGGGTCCGAGAGAGGAGGGGCTGGGGACCCTGACCCCCGGGTCTGGGGGAGGAATGGGTGGGGTAGAAGAGAGCTGGGCACCTGAATTCTTGAGACACGGGAACAAGCAATCAGGTGTTTGGGTCCAGGAGTTCTGCCAGAATTAAGGGCTGGAGGTCTACCTGCTAAGCCTACCCCTTCATTCCTCCCCCAGTGGGAACTCATGAGGGAAACAATGTTTTTGGTTCTAAATTCCTAACCACACCAGACCGTGAGTTCTGTATCTTGCACACAACTACCTACACCCAAATGTAACCCAAGGAGAATCAGCTGAACAGGAGTGATGGATTGGCCCAGACACGCTGAGAAGGACCACATCGCCCCCTGGCGGCCACAGCACAACACTACCTTTCCTCCTACAGGAAGCCCTCCAGGACTGACCCCCATATCGAGCTAGGAGAGCTCCATACCCTCAAGTGCCCCAGCCCTTCCCGCACCCTGCCTCCCCCACCCCTCCGTGCGTCCCCAAGGAGCTCCCCCTACTTGTCGTTCCCGCAGTGCGCGGCCGTGAGCACCCAACTCTTGTCCACCAGGACGCCCGCGCAGTGGAACGAGAGGCCATTGAAGAGGGAGACCTGCCAGGGCTGCGAGCCGCGCGCGCAAGGGGCGCCGGAGGCCACGGGGTCCGAGCCCGTGTCGTTTACGGGGAGCAGCAATGCCTCCGCGGC